CGTAAAACGTAAAACGTAGAACGTAAGATGTGAAAACGAGAACCAATCAACGTGAACGAAATGGAATGTTATCTATTCCCCATAATCTCTTTTTTCAATGGAATGTGACTCATTGCTAGCGCATGAGATTTTTATCTATCTCAGGTACGAAAATCTCTGTCTGCAAAATCTCGGACTGCATGTTGAGTTTTTTTCAGTGCACCGTGTCTGTCCACCATGTATCGACTGGAGCGTCAAATGTGTATGCCACCGCTGGCAAAAATTTTACGCGATCGTGAAATTGGTGAAAACAAATTTCTAAAAGATCACAATAGATTCGATGATAATTTGAATTGTGAGATACATTTGACAATGAAATCAAATTGCGTATTTTCAACACGAATTTGGGAGTGTTTGATGCTGGATAATGAGGAGAGGAACGACGTGTGGCTGGTGGACCTACGCCGGAAGGTAGAGGCTGAGGAGCGTCGATTCCTGGTAAGTACAAAAGCTTAGGAAATCATTCGGAGAGAGACGATGTTTTTTATCTAGAATAAAGACGATGTTTTTTTTCTTTCAGCATGATTTTTTTTATAGTGATGACGATGATGACGACGATGATGATAACGATGCGGGGGTGAGGACACCTCCGCGAATGGAGGCGAACCCACAGTTCGAGGCGCCGTGGGACATCGACGCGAGGATGAGGACGCCTCCGTGGGAGGAGGAGGAGGCGAGCTCGCAGGAGAGCTCAAAGGAGAGCTCGCAGGAGAGCTTACATGCAAGGGCTAGACCGTCGGAGCCCCGGAATATGGGTGTCAACCATGATGTGGAAGATTAAATAATGCTTTTAAATTATGCTTCAAAAAATATTGTGAACGATGCGATACATAGATAAAATGTGTATTAAACATACATCATATGTTAAAACATTATTCTTTTCGTTCCTATTTCCTTAAAATTAAAATTTAAAAAAGCGTTCTATTGCATGATGAAGAAAAAAAAATTCCAACGGGTGGGAGGGAGAGAGAACGCGAACCTTCCAATGAGTGGGAAAGAGAGAGAACATGCGGCTGAGAAAGAATGTGAACCTTTGACCAAAATGACGGCACTGCCAACGTGGTGGCGCTGCAATCGAAAATGGCGGCGGCGGACCAC